TAAACAGATCCAGGCATGCGTTTGCCATTTAAAGACTGCGTGTTAGAGATAAGAGTCCTTCAGTGAACACATCACTCGCTCATATCGTTACACAAGGAGAGAGAGATAATGAAGACGCAAGCAGTATATAAGCATACCGCAGCCAATCCTGATTCGATGTCGTATTGGGATAAAGGCAACTAATCGAACCACCGAAGTGTCAAGCCTGAGTGTACCTTAGAGCACTTTCCAACACTCCCACGCGCTCAGGACTTGCACACGTTCATAGCTACACGATGCTTCACAAATTTCTCAGACGGCAAAGGCTTCGTTAGACAGTCAGCTACCATATCTTCCGACCTGCAATCTACCATCACGAGCGTACCGAGTGCTACCTGCTCCCGTACAAAATGATAACGCACAGAGATGTGCTTCGATTGCTTCGAAACAACCGGATTGCTCGCCAACCGAATTGCGCTCTGACTATCGCAATTAATCTGCGTTGGCTTGAGGTCGTAGCCGAGATCGCCAAGTAGTTGTCGCAACCATAAAGCCTCCTTAGCAGCTTCCGAAACAGCCATATACTCAGCCTCCATAGTGGACGCAGCCACGCTCCGCTGAAGTTCGCTAGCCCAACTAACTGTACCACCATGAAGAGTAAAGACGTAACCAGACGTTGACCGCCGCGAGTCAGCACAACCCGCATAGTCAGCATCGCTATATCCAACTAACCTCTCGTCTGCTCGTTCACCACCTAGGACTAATCCGTAATCAGACGTTCCTGCCAAATAGCGTACTACCTCCTTCGCCGCTTTCCAGTCCGACCTGCTAGGATTCGACATGTGCCGCGCTAAAACTCCCACGGCTTGTGCGATGTCAGGACGAGTACATCCAGACACGTACAACAAGCTGCCAATTAACTGGCTATACGGAAAACGCTCTCGATCCAGCCGATCTTCCACTGCAGCATTAGGTAAGACGGTTCCAGGACTCATAGGTACAGACTTCGGCCGTGCATTAGCCATGCCATAAAGACCCACAATGTCCTTGACCATACGCCCCTGAGAAACGGTAATTACCCTGTTCGCTCGATCGCGCTTAAGAGTAAGTCCCAAAAATAAACTTGCCTCTCCTAAGTCGCGGCACTCAAACCGCCGCATGATAGCCGCCTTCACTTCTGAAACGGCTCTCTCGCTCCAAGACGCAATCAAAACGTCGTCTACATAAACCAAAAGATATACAACCTCGCTTTGTTTACGGCGCACAAATAAACTAGGGTCCGCACTCGACGCGACAAAGTCCATCGACACTAATTCTTCACATAACGTGTCATACCATGCACGCGACGCTTGGCGAAGGCCATACAAGGCCTTATGAAGAAGACAAACTATCCCCGGGCCTCCCTCTTCAAAACCGGGGGGTTGTTTAACATAAATTTCTTCCTCTAAATCGCCATTCAAAAACGCCGTCTTGACATCTAACTGGTGCAATTCCATATCGGCGCCAGCTACCATGGACAAAAAAGTACGCAAGGTAGTGTGGCGACTCACCGGCGCAAAGACCTCTTGGAAATCCACACCCTCACGTTGCATAAAACCTTTCACTACTAGGCGTGCCTTGAACCGCTCAATGGCCCCATGCTTGTCACGCTTCAGCGAGAATACCCACTTAACGTCAAGAGATCTGTTGTCCTTGGGCTTCGGCACTAAGGACCAAGTACCCTTCGCACGCAAAGACTCAAGCTCTTCAAGCATCGCAGCACGCCAAAATTCAGCATAAGGAGATGCCATTGCTTCCTCGTAAGATTCCGGAATATCGACATCATCATCCGACTCTTCCTCCATCTCTACGCGGAAAGCAAAACGTTTGGGTGGAACTCCGGCATTCGAACGCTTTTCCCTACCAAGAGCTAACGGCAAATTACTGTTCGTATTGGACGGTCCTGCATTTGACGGCCCTGCGTTGGACGGCCCTGCGTTGGACGGCCCTGCGTCAACCAATCCTTCACTGGCCTCCTCATCCACTTCACCGCCATCCTCACTATCAGACTCGGACCAATCCGATGCCTCATCGTCATCAATCAACGGCCCTGGCTCGTCATCCGATCCCTCATCACCAGCCGGTCCGCCTACAGGATCCAATTCGACCTCGTCCTCGAGCGCCCTCCTGGGGTCCTCATCGTCAGCACCGGAAGAGAGCGACTCCTCTATCGACTCGAGTAAAGACGCGACATCATACATGATTCCCTCATCGAAAACCACGTCTACACTAACGCGAATCCGCCCTTCTGCTGGGATCCATACGCGCCACGCACTAAATTTAGGTTCATACCCAACTAAGATACCCTTGACGCAGACCGGGTCAAGTTTATTTCTAAGCGCCCTTGGAACCTGTACATAAGCTACGCACCCGAATACCCGTAGCTTAGAAACGTCCGGGGGCTTTCCAGTAAACAGCTCCCACGGCGTCTGTACAGTCCCCTTCGTAGGACACGCGTTGCGCAAGGCGTTGGCCGTCATTATTGCCTCTCCCCAGAGCTCCGGAGGTACGCCCGACTCATATCGCATGGTCCGCACACGCTCCAGCAAAGTCCTGTTCAGGCGCTCCGCTGCTCCGTTTTGCTCTGGCGTATACGGAGCCGACTTCTCATGCACAATACCCCTCTCAGAAAAGGAGGCAAGGCGATCGTTGACGTACTCCGTGCCGCAATCAGTTCGGACGCAACGAACCTCTAGACCAGTCTGCCGTTCCCACTTAGTCAAAACCTCACGAACAGCGTCGGGGACTTCGCTCTTTGCGCGAACGCAACGAACCTCGGAGTACTTGCTAAAATCGTCGTAGAAGGTAGCGAAGTAGTTGGCTCCACCCAGCGACGTGGTCGGCATCGGGCCGCAAAGATCCATATGGACGAGATCAAGTACGCGTTCACCCTTGTGCATCGACGAATGATGGGGGCTGCGGGTCATTTTTCCCATAACGCACGGCTCACAGATCTTGCTCCCAAGACGAAGGCTTCCCTTACGGCATATAGGCTCCGAATGGGTCAGTTCGTCAAACAACTGCCTATCAAGACGGGTGAGGCTAGCATGCCCCATGCGACGATGCAAGGTGTCTAACTTCTCCTTGGGGAAGCGATGCGTTGATAATACCCTATTCCACTCGCTCTCTGCCTGCTCAAGCACGATGTACATCCCGTTCTCCTCGAACACATCGACAGCGGGGATTCCGTCTATTGCTATATACGAGTAATCGGCGGACAGGATAACCTCTACCACCTTATCCGGGAAGGATCTCT